AAAAAAAAAAAAAAAAACTGTGCATTTTATTGTAAATAAAAAAATTATCTCTGACTTAAGTCAGAATGTCAGCCAAATCTGATATAAATGAGAGTCCTACCTAATGTCAGACATAGAAATAAATTCCAAGTGGATTAAAGAGCCAAAAAAGAACAAAACCACTAAGCACCTGTAAGAGAATAGCCTTACAATATTAGGGAAGTATTTCACACTACAAAGCCCTCAAAAAAAAGACCACCAATACTACTAAATGATATTAATGTTACATGGGAAAATAAAACACCATAAACAAAAGTTAAACGGCAGGAGCCAGACGTGATGGCTCACGCTTGTAATCCTTGTAATCCTAGCACTCTGAGCAATTTGGGAAGCTGAAGCAGATGGACTGCCTAAGCTTAGTTCAAGACTACTCTGTAAAGCTTGACCCCCATCTCTAAAAATAGCCAGGCCAAGTGGCCAGGGCCTATAGTCCTAGCTATTCAAAGGCTGAGGTAAGAGGATCACTTGAGCCCAAGAGTTTGAGGTTGCTGTAAGCTTTGATGCCATAGCACTCTATGAATGGTGACAAACTAAGACTCTCTCTCTCTCTCTTTCTCTCCCCCTCTCTCCCTCTCCCTCCCTCACAGGTTGATGTGAGCTGTGATGCCAAGGCACTCTACCCAGGGCAAAAGCTTGAGACTCTGTCTCAAAAAAAAAAATTGGGCAAATGGTCAGAGACTTCCTACATCCAGGCATTTCTCTTACTCTGAAATATTCCCTCTGTGTTTACTTTGCGATCCCTTTCAGATTTTTCTGGCATGTGTAACACCAGCTTCCCCTGATCCATCAGAATTTCCACTGTTTATTCCTAACCTGGCAGACAGCTCTTACCTCCTGCCTTCCCACAGCCCCTCCTGGCTCCTCTCCAACCCTTCACCTACAATCCCTCCATTCTCTCAATCAGAACACCTGGGAAATTTCTCTGTGCAGAGATACCTCTCTTCCATCTATAACCTCCCATCAATCACCCATTCTCATTGCCCTCCAAACCCTCTTTCCCCACTGCCTCCCACCCGCTCTCCACCATCCGTGGTAAAGAAAAAAATGGTGGCATTTCCCCAGGGCCCTCAACCTCCCAGTGAGATCTCACTGATCTGATCTTAAAGGTGTGGCAGTGCCTCTCAGAGCTCCAGTATGGCTTCTGTCATTAACCAAAACCTGGCTACTTTTTTAAACTCCGTGAAGCATTCCAGAAGGGAAACAAAATCTTCCTCAGGATCATGCTTTAAGTGGAGCAAACTAGGCTTCCGGGCAAAGCAGTGCTCCAAATCCAAACCCACCCCCAAACAGTGTCCAGCCGCAGGGGTCTCGGCTGCCCAGGTCTTTCTGAAGATCTGGGGCAGACACTCTCAGAACACAGCTGTAATTCCCTCCTGAGCCTAGCTGCGAAAGACTGAATGATCTCAATAGAAATCAGGAAATCAGAATGCTTCCTGAATGCCATCCTAGAAAATGCATCTCTAGGTATTTGTGCTTATAGAAGGTAAACTGATCTTTCTCTTCTCTAACAAACATCCACGCTGCCGCCTTGTAAAAAATCCTCTAAAAACGGGCAGAGATCTTGGTAATGGGTATTAGATGTCCTCTCAGGATTGCTGGCGGCCCTGGCAACTCCAACTGGTTCCTGCCTCTCACTGTCCATCTTCCTCTTTGGTTACTGTCTGATATGGTCACTAATTATGATTTTTTTTTTCTCATTCTCAGTTTTGAACCAGTAACCCTCTGCCTCAGATCTCGAGAGAAATCCGCAAACAACTCCTCATATTCTCACCTCACTGAATACCAACCTGCTCAGACTACAAAAGCCAAAGAGTTCCTGTAAACGCCACTCCCTTACCCCAGTCCCCTCCCCCTCTGATTCTCTTTACAGGCAGCCCACACAGCCCCTCCTCCACAGGAAGCAGTCAAAGAGATACTATGCCCATCATCCCACCTCCTTATGATAGATAAAAAACACTGGAATGATAGGGCCAAACCCTGCTCAAATGGGGTAGACTGGTCTAAAAGAATCAACCCCCTACCCTCTCCCACCAGATGTCCCACCTAAGAAAGATGAATGGGTCAACCCCCTACCCTACCCCACCAGATGTCCCACCTGGGAAAGGTAAATGGGCCACCCCCCCACCCTTAAAACAGATGTTCAACCCAGGAAAGGAAATGTCCCGACCCCCACTTTCCTGACCTTTAAAACCCCCATTTGCCATTACCCACATGTGGATTTCTTCCTGGTTGGAAATATTTTGCCAGCCTGCACCCAGGTGGAATACAGCCATTTTAATTGAATAAATAAATAAATAAAATGCCAAAAATGAAAGTAATCAAAGATTTGAAAGTGCAATATAGTATAAACAATTTCTCTAGGTAGAGAAATACCTACATAATTATTTAAGGATGTATGTATAAGAGTATTAACCACATCCTTACATATAACTACCAAATAAGGTTATGGGATTAAACTTTCACAGGACTGCTCAGTTGTAAAAGGAAACTAAGTGACTATGTTTCAAATATCTTCTTTTCATTTATTTTTCAAATTTACTTAGAATTCACTTTGGGCATACAGTATAGATGTAATATCATTTTTTTCCTCAAATAACTACCTCCTTGTTCCAGAGTCCCACAATTTCATAAGACACCCTCTGCCCTCTTGTTTATTACCCTAGTTCACTGACCCTTCTTTTTTTTTTTTTT